CTCTCTCATGTAGGTTTTTGGCTCTTGTCTATGTGCCAGAGCTTCATGATTCGTATAGGCCTACGCTGTCGTACCAGCGCCTACAGACCACCCAGCCTCTTTCAGACGAAGAACTTTACCATAAGATCAGGCGTACAGTCCCTAACAAGCAGGATCTGCAAGTACTCGAAAGTTTCCTCATCTTTAACAAGTGCGAATTCGTTCCTCCCGGGTCTTGCTGTCACTAACACAGCATTCGTCAGACACGTCCTCAAAACCAACTTCTACCAGCCGACGAAGGTTGCTTTGTCGTTCCGTTTGGCACCCGACTTCTTGCCTGAAGTAGAGTATCCGAAGAAGCCATTCGGCATGTTCTTTGTCATCGGCAATGAATTCCGTGGGTTCCACATTCGATTCCGGGATGTTGCTCGTGGTGGTATTCGCATCGTCATGTCAAGAAACAAAGAGTGAGTCTTGTACTGCCTACCATGTGTGTGCAGCGAAACTGATCCCCCCCCCAGGAACTACTCGATCAACCAGAGGATGCTGTTCGATGAAAACTATGGACTGGCTTCCACACAGTCATTGAAGAATAAAGACATACCCGAAGGAGGTGCCAAGGGTACCATCTTGCCATCGTTCGTCTTCTCCACCTGTCCATGACACTGATCATGAATGTGAGTTATTTGCAGGCTTGGAGCAAGTCCAAGATTCTGCTTTGAAAAATACGTAGACGTGAGTCTCTCAAATAGCTGATCTTTTATATGGACCTAACCTGTATCTCCAGGCTATCATAGATCTCTTAATACCTGGGCAGACTCCAGGAATCAAAGAGCGCCTGGTTGATGTATACGGCAAACCTGAATTGCTCTTCTTTGGCCCTGACGGTCCGTTGTTTGTTGATAACATTCCTATACATTGTTCATTCTCCACCAGAGGGAACCGCCGACATGATGGACTGGGCTGCACGTAAGTTTCTTCGGAAGTGCCGAGTGCCACGATATCTCACTGTCCTGCGTAGTGCATGCGCGTGCACGTGGTGCAGAGAAATGGTGGAAGTCGTTCACGACGGGCAAGAGCGCCGAACAACTTGGTGGAGTGCCTCACGATACCTATGGCATGACCTCATTGTCAATTCGACAATATGTCTTGGGCATCTACAAGCAGTTAGGTCTCAGGGAGAAGGATGTCACCAAGGTGCAGACGGGTGGACCTGGTGCGTAGACCTGATCCGGTTATATGCATTAACTCATGAGAAAATGTTCCGGACAGACGGCGACCTTGGCTCCAGTGAGTATATTCAAAGCTGAGCCATCTCTGCATTAACAGACGACCACAGATGAGATCCTCCTTAGCTCCGACAAAACTGTCGCCATCATTGATGGCAGCGGTGTTCTTGCAGACCCTGCAGGCATCAACCGTGAAGAGCTGATCCGTCTTGCTAAGCTCCGCGTACCCGTCGCCAACTTTGACAAGACCAAGCTTACCAAGGACGGATATTTGGTAAAGGTCGAGGAGCAAGATGTCAAACTGCCCTGTATGCATTCCAACCCGTTGCGTCTTTATATGGGGCTGACTCTTCCTTGACCATAGCTGGGGAAATCATCCTTGACGGCACAGACTTTAGGAACGGCGCCCATCTCCGCTTCAAAGCGGACCTGTTCGTGCCATGTGGTGGACGGTTAGTTGAATTACCCGTGTGGAATGATTTTCATTGATTGTACCTTGCAGCCCTGAGGCAGTGAATATCTCGAACGTTGCCGCTTTGATCGATACGGAGGGCAAACCACATTTCAAGTACATCGTCGAAGGCGCCAACCTATTCTTCACACAACAGGCACGCTTCCATTTAGAGAAACGCAAAGTGATCCTGTTCAAGGACTCGAGCACCAACAAGGGTGGGTCGTATTTACACACCTGATCTGTGTCGTGCCTAAACCAAATCGTTCGCAGGTGGTGTGACGAGTTCCTCTTTAGAAGTCCTCGCCGGTCTTGCACTGTCCACGCAAGAGTATCTCGATCTCATGATCTTCAAGGATGGCAAACCCTCCGAGTTCTATCAAAACTACGTCAAGGACATCCAAGCCAAGATCACTGAAAATGCTGCTGCCGAGTTCCACTGTATATGGCGTGAGCATGCACGTCTGCGGGGAGCAAAGCCCCGTACTCAAATCTCTGACGAATTGTCGATTACTCTCAACAACCTCCAGGAAGAACTTGAGAGCTCGGATTTGTTCGACGACGTGCCTAGCAGGAGGGGCGTCATGCGGAGAGCGATTCCCAAGACTTTGGTTGACCAAATCGGACTGGATACATTACTAGAACGACTTCCAGAGCCTTACCAGCGTGCATTGTTCTCCAGCTGGGTTTCCTCGCACTTTGTGAGTACATGTATTGATCCCACATCCTCTTGTTGTGATGCATCTTCGCACCAGATTTACAAGCATGGCGTGAACGGCTCGAGCGTAGACTTCTTCCACTTTGCTCGTGAACTTGCAGCTTAAAAGAGGTCCTTGATTACAAAAATTCTAATACTGTTACGAAGAACATTTCCTATGAGGTAATACAACTGTGTTGTACATATGTACTAATAATGATGCATTGCACGGACATTCTCTTGTCTCTTGTTCTAAGATTCTTAGACCATACATATCTAGGACATAACCCGCTATAAACCCTCATCGTACAGTTTCCGGGTCAAGGCAACGTAGAACCTCTCCAAGTCCAACTTGGTTGCCAGCTCGTTTTTGGTCACTTTCTTCTTTTGAGTCTTGGTTTCACTAGAAGATGCGTTACCCGGCGTAGGTACTTGTTCGACGATCCAGTCGAAAACGGCGGAGAGCTTGTCGGTGGAGGCTCTGACAACAGGGTCGTCATGTCCTTCCTGCCGGATGTGCTCCCTCTCTTTCTTGGTCTCCTTCAGAGTCAAAACGGGTTTCGCAGACTGCCCGGTAGTCGATGCAAGTTCAACTGCTGCTTGCGATGATTTCTCTTGCTTCTTCCACGCCCCGATGAACCATGACCAATCTCCGAATGCCCAGCCATCTCCTACACGGTTCGTGATGTTGCCTAGAGGCACGGAAGGAAAATCGACATTCAATTCCATGCCTCGTGCACCTCTTATCTCCCAATGATCGCAGCCTTCCAAAATGCCCAAAAACTCTCCCCAGCGGGCACTCTCTAGGGTGACCAACCCATCGTTGCCCCATCTGTCGTCTTGGTCCCAGGGCGGCCGTAGACCAGGAGGGGAGTAGGTATTCTCCATGGATTTTTTGAGAGTCTCTTTGGATCTCTTCTCTGCGTCGTCCAAGACTGTTTTTGGGAGCCATAGAGGATGCAAGATACTCATTTCGTCCGTACGCGATGCAACACTGAAATACTTGACACGTGGATCGTTGGGGGTGTTGGGATTGAAGACGTCGTTCAGGTACGAGGTCGTCAAGTTAGCGTAGGCAGGGGAATCCAGAAGGGACAGGAGTAAAGTTGTGAAAGAGGACGGAAGAGACGATAGCGAGAGGGGAAAGGTTGTCGCTTCGCGTCGTTCGGACCTTTCATCATTGGGGTTGGTCGGCGGCGTTTCAGGTGCCGCCTGGCATCTTTGGTCCACTTCCGTTGCAACACCATTTTCCGCGTCCCGTCGACGTCTCCCGAGTCCGATGTATTGCTGTTTTGGAAGGTTTTCGAATCATGGGACGGGACTTTGGTGGGTTGTTGACTTACTGCGCACCAGTCCATGAACGGACTCCCTCGGTGAGGTGTACTTATCGACGTCAAGGAAAGCGGTGCATACTCAGTAGGCTGAACGTGTGTTATCAAGTGACGACAGTCGAGTCCACCCATGGAGTGAGCCATGAAATTGACACCTCGGCCCCTCGCCTTTTCTAGCAGAATGCGATCGAGATTTTCCGCTCTGGAGGCAATGGAACCGGTCCTAGGAGGAAACTCAGAACATCAAACGACTAAATAGATGGATTTTCGTGATGCCTACCCAGGCACTGTAGTGACGATAACGTCCGCGCCCACTTTGTTCTTCAGTATAGAAAGCACATTCGACCAATAATGTAGCCGGAGACTGGGAAATGCGGCGGGACCCCTCACGTCAAATCCGTATAATCCTGCAGAAAGATTGATAAAGATCTGGGGTGCATTGATGGGACGCATACCGTGACATAGCACAATAGGATAGCGAGGTGCTCTGACAGGATTGAAGAGCGATGGGTTGCTCATGAGACGGTGGATCGTGTCTTGATGCTCATCCTTGTTAGAGTTAGGTGCGTTAGAGCTCCTATAGTCCTCTCCTCTATCATGGGCGGTTGAAAGGCCATTATCCGGCTCATTATATGTGGTCGAGTGGGAAGCCGTGGCCAACGAGAAGGATTCCGATAGTATGCTCTTGGCTTCAAATGATGTGCCATATGCTAACCCTGGACAATCCCTTCTAGTCAATCGTCTCCGCAGGTGTTGAAGCGTCGTACGCTGAAGAGTTGTTGCCGGAATATCCTCCGCACTGTTCGCAGCAGGATTGACGGGTTTCACGGTGTCTAACCAATCAAGGGAATACCAGGACATCAACCAACTCCAGCTGCCTCCTGCTTGCGCGTGAGACTGGACCTGTTGCGACACTTCCTGTCCGTCCAAGCGCTCACTGGGGACCTGGGGTGAACTGTTGTCCGACTGAATTCTTGACAAGAGATACTGGTTCGTCAAAGACAAGGTCGAAATAACGTTGAATAATCGACGAATGATTGCAACGATTTGCACCGGAAACGAGATGTTGTTCATGACTTCCTGAGAGCCAGATTTACGCAAGTGAGCAGACTGTGCTGGTTCATGAAGAAAGGCATTTCATTTACGTAATGTGAATCCTCACCAACGCGACGATACGATAGACATTAACCTTGCACCTAAGCAGCAATATGCAAAATCTCTAATGTCTCGTATCTTTCTTCATTCTGAAGTTGGTTGTGATTCAAAAACTATTAGTACGTTGGCAAACGTAGCAAAAATGCAAAAGATAAAAGCTCTCTGGCGGGGAGTCGAACCCCGCTCTTCCGCGCCACTGCTCATCAAGTGACAGGCGGATGTACTATCCGATATACTACCAGAGACCATGCTCAACTACGTCCCAATCTTTACATGACACCCTAGCACGTGTCGGAAGATAATTGATCACAGTATTACTAGTCACAATGTGCAAGGGAGAATAACAATATCGCAAAGATTACAGCCGATGACGACCATACGAAACCCCAGAAAAATCAACAATACCCTGTAGTCAATTTAGCCCAGAAGTTCTTCCTTGTCCACGCCACCCAAAGCAACCCAATCACAAAGAATCATAGCACGGCTGATGTACGATGGCATACGTACGACTGTCTCCTTATGGAGCTCGTTGATGGTACAACTCTCCGAGCACAACACGAATCGACCCATTCCTCCCTCGCGTCCGGTGAAGAGACATACCGTTGGTGGGCGCGCCGCCATAAAGTAGTAAAGGGTACCCGACAGAGTGTCAACGAGAGTGTATATGTTTTCGCGATATCTCGGATCGCCCGCCTGATCGAACTGGGCGGGATTGCCCTCACGGACAAGACCGTCGTCCGCGAGTGCAAACGGAGATCCGCTAGGTGTATAAGACATGCGCGGAAAATTCGACATGGCGCCACCGTACAAGTGCATTGCCGCTTGTTCCACAGTGAGCACACCTTTGACGCCAACGAGCCACGGTTCCGCAAAGAGAATACGACCAGAATTGGCATAAGCAATCAGATACGGAGCCGAGAGCATAAGGAGTAGCCCGATGGCGATCAATAAAGCGCCCGCCGCTGTGTTGACAGCCACGATGGCTACACCACCCAAAATGATCTCCCAAAATGTGTATGGGAGGTAGCCCGCAAGCGATCGCCGGAATGAGTCGGTTGTTTGAAAGGCGACATCTGGGAAATTCTTCCACCTGATTGCTGCAGCACGGCAGCCATCAATAACCAGTGCCCCAGTTTGGGTGACGCCGGCGACCTGTATCTCTGGCTCAATCTCCCAAAGATTAGATCTGTAGACATCAACGTCGGCATACCAACATGCCTGCGCAGGAATACGATCCGGAAGCATGGAGACCATACGTTCTGCAATGCGATCATTGTCGTTTGCCATCGACAGTCGGGCGAGAGCTTGGAGCTCTGTTTCCAAAGGGTTGGGCATGATTCTATGGTCGAAAAAGCCCATGAGAGCGTACACCTTCTCCGCAGCGTATGCAAAGCCCACTTGTTTTGCCGGTCCTTCTTGAGTACTCAGCTGGCCCTTCTGCGACTGCTCCTCCGGTTTCTGCGGTAACGCGGCGCTGCCTCTACGCCAGATGGCGGACTTTAAGAGCGTGAGGCGCTCCAGCCGTTCAAGGGGATCCTTTCCACTGTAGGCGTTGATGATCGCTGTCTCCTCGTCATACCGCTCGTACGCCTTGTTGGCGAGCTCGTGCAGAGATATTGGCGTCACGGGTCCATTAAAACCTATCTTGTAGCGTAGGTGGGAACTCAGCAACGCCTCGGGAAGCGTCCAAACACGTCCACCCCAACTTTTCCAGCTCTCGATGCTATGAGTGCTGTCCGATTTTTTGAGCGTGATGAGAGTGAACGCTGCGCCCCTGTAGATGTCGGCCATCCGGTAGAGATCCAGGTTCTTCTCCGCTGGTTCATCGCCCAAACACTTGAGGTCAAGCCAGTAGGCATTGTACCCACACTCCAATGTTGTAGCACGAACCATCTCCGTGAACTGCCTCTTCTGTTCCTGCTCTCGAAGCAACCCTTCCTTGTCCGCCCCCCGCTGAAAGACGTCCGATTGACGATAGGAGATCGCGACATACGGCTGGTGGATGATGATATCAGGCTTATCGCAAAGATACCAGCCCTTTTCTCCGTGTATTGCAAGAAGGCGCGGGTGGGTACCGTGCGTGATGCTTCTGGTCGTGACAGTGACACCAACAGGAGTGGGCATCTCATGACCGACGAGTTCTTTCACTCGAGTTGAGTATTCCTTGGGCGAGCGCGCTGCCCATAGTTGGCCCCAGTAGCGCATGAGGTATGCATGATAAAAACCGGTGTAAGTAGGGGCATCGAATGGCCAAATAAGCAGAAGGGTGAACCAAAGGAACTTTCCAATCCACGGGATGATATCTCCAGCGGACCGGGGATAACTACGAATGAGCCAGATGGCGAGTTTGCTTGACCTCCGAGAACCGTCGCTGATCTTCACTTGATTGGTCCGCGCGACTGGGTTGACGGCTTGAACACGAAGTCGCCGACACTGGCCAGTGCTCGCACTCATATATCTTTGCTCGGGCCCATGCTTTTTGGGCCGGAGCTGACTGTCGTAGCAACAGTATTTCTCTGAAGTAGCCTGCGAAGAGTACAGTGTTGCCGACATGCCTAGAAGTGCCTTGCGTCAGACGCAGCGTAGGAGGTCTCAATGCGAACACACCTCTGATGGGGGGAATTTGGGAAAAGTGAAGACATGAACGAACGATGACTCGCTTATATCCAGGACCAGAGCGTTTAAGTTTGGTTACATATCAGATCAAAGGATGCACCGGTTGTTGCATTATGCCGACATGTCTCTCGATACCTGCGCCTGTCCCTGTGCAAGACAAAAGCCGAAGACTGAGTTAAACAGGGAAGGATGAACCGAGAAATCATCGTCTTACCAAATGAGCAAGGTTCAGACGGATTGCTGGAGATGATATTCATAACCCCTGCAATGCCAAGAAGTGGCGATGGATGAAAAAAGTCCACGCAAGCCTGGACTGATCATTTCATGGTCAACCCCATGTCAACCCGTTTGTGAGATCACGTAGGCACAGCCTAAAGGGCCAGGGCAAATCTACCGGACGAGCGCTCGTAAGTATTGATTGATGATGAATTTGGCTTGGCAACTATTCCGCTGATTGTTGAATCCTGTGCCGCGAGGCTGATATTCGCACAATCCGCCCGATCGAGGAAAATCTTGCACCACGTTGCGTGTATTTTCGAAGAATCAGCTGTGGTCTGGCCAATCCCGAAACGCCAATCTGTAGTAATACCACAAGCGGGGCGGAAGCATGCATCTTTAAAGCAAAGTAGCTTGGTAGGGATGATCTGAACTTACCCGCCCACTCTAATCATGCAGATTCCTTGTACATAGCCTCGATGAGACAAACCCGTAATAATACGGATGCAACGTCGCGTGCTGAGTTGAGCTGAACTTGGCGATGAACATTGAAAGAGTCTCTTTCCATGATGATGATAGAACTCTCACGCACTGTACACGTTGCCCACGGAGGAACGACTGTCTTCATACTCCTGAAGGTCTGCCTAGCGGAGTAGGCTAGACACATGCGTTGGTGCTGGCAGGGATTGAGAGGTCTGGAAAGGATGCATAAGTACCTGTTCGGCACGAAACCACTGTATGCAACGGACCGTACGTAGTACTACATAACTTAGCTATTGCCATGTTCGTAGGCACCATCACACGACGCTCCCATATATAATACCCTATTTCAAGCTTTTCCGTACGGTATGTGTTCCCTAGCCCACCTGGTAGTGTCCTCGTTCGCATTCAAAAGCGGATCAAGTGGACGCAACTGCCAGGAGTCGCTGTCTGCGAATTTCGGCAGTGGGTATAACGCTACCGCTGCCAGCGACAGATATGTATGATACGGATCTTCGGCGGAAATTTAGGTCATTTCCTGTGACGAAGTAGCAGGAAGTTCTAACCGGGGTGTTCGTTGGGCGCTTTCGATATTCCGCCAAACTTGAACTGACATGAGGATAAGAAAGAAGCTAATGCGGACTCGTTAACCAGTTCTCTTGCACCCAAAATCTGAGTTCAAGGGCACGCTCAGTATTTCCAAGGATGAATGAATCAGTGTTAGCTCACAGCCAACGAAGCTCCGCACCAGAAACAATAGCAGGCATCAGCTTCTTTGTTCGTACGTCCCCTATAACCACCAGATGGTTCTTGGTTTTGGATAAGCCATCTGATAGTCTGCTTTTTCTGGCTGTCGGAAATGTGCTGGCCTTGTCCAGCAAGAAAAATTGATGCCAATGCACAATAAGTAGGGCCACCTTCATTATATCAATACTTGCCAGGCATTTCAAACAAGACACGTACCTGAACCTTCGGAAAACGGAGTTTGGCCGTAACCCCCTTCGTAAGTCTGATTTTTGATGCCCTCATCGCTTCATTTGGATAAATCATGGACAGCTCACCCTACACGACGCAATGTATTCCAGAGCATGTGCGATTCGGACACCTGACCAATCGTCCAACATGCTGCTGATGGCAAAAGCACAATAAGTTGTCCGCAGGTCGGCGTCGCCCCCATAAGGTTCCGAGGAAAAGCTAGGGCAAAATAGTCAAATGGAGAATGCCTTCATCCTTGCAGAGTCCAAGTACACACCTTCCGTCCTCATTCTGACACGCTTTCAGAAACGCGATGACTCCTGGTTCGTCCAATCTAGAGAAATTGTCCCGAAGAATTGCGAGGGAAAGCAAGGCCGTGTAAGTCACAATAATGTGCGGAGGGTTTTCGGATGTTTCAGAGTATATGTTGTCCTTGGTCGTTCAATCGTAAGCACGAAAGCGGTCAAACGAAGAGAGACGAACAGGCTCGCCGGCTGCAACCATGTATGGTCCTGGCCTGAACGCAGCGCCCGATGGCCCGTCTGAGTCGAAAGAATAGTTTCCTTAAGCATGTCCACACAAAAAGAGTCCACTCACTGATCTGCTGAGCCCAAATCCAGTTCCGCCATGTTTCTTTATCGGATTCTTTCGTATTCTGGTTTGCAAGTTGATCCGCCAAGTCCAATGAGCCCAAGCAATAGAATGCCAGCGCAAGTCTATCATCGTTGTTATCAATCCCGGAGGCGAGGAAAGACAAGGAGGCTGATCGCACTTTGAAGGATCGACGTCGACCTGGGATCCTGGCAAGCCCATCAGGCATCTTTTGCAGTGGGTTGCATGGCCTGCGCTGAGGAGCGGTTTGAGCGACGGTTCGTCCATGGTGGAATGGTGGTTTTGTGATTGTACCAGCTTAATATTGAGTCTGGAGGGAAGGAAGGATTATGGTCCTTCGAGTCTT